AGAGGGATAGAAGGTAGGAGGGGTGTCAGATAATCGGCCAGTTCTACATCTGCCTTTGCTACTAGCCAAGAGACTTTGAACAAGTTGCTTTTCCCTCATCAGTCTCAGCTCATACAAATAAGGGATAAGAAGTATATCACAAGTTTTCAAACATTCTTTTTTTTTTTTCAAATATTCTTTGTGGCTTCTGGCTCTCCAGTTACACACTGGATCATTTCTGGAGAGGCAGAGAGAGAATGGTAAGGGTGTGGAGACAAAGGTATGTCTGTATCTCTCCCCAGATCCCGCGTAACAAAAACAGCTTAACCACCATCCTTCATCCATCTTTTGTAAAGACTTTTGAAGACAGTGCTCTCTGGCTAAGAAAACATCTGAGGACCACTGGATCGTATGTCCCTAACTTCCCTTCCAATCCCATAATTCCCCCATAAATGAACACCTTGTGGCACTGGATACAGAAAACAGATGAATTCTGGTCTTGAAGATATAAATGTGCGAGTTGTATCCAAATGAGCACACCCAGGGTAGCAATGCTGGCTGGAACCATCCCATATATCTTCAAGAAAATTAATCTGTACTCAGAGTTTATTGTTATGTAAACATCACAATGTGTTCATAAAAGTAGGAAAAAACAATCTGCCTTTGTAGGACTTAACACCTTAGAGGAGAGAAACAGAAACAACTCAACCTGTCACCTCCAACTACTCCCCACAAAGTGCATAGTTAAGTGAGGCATTCTAAGGTACAACCTCTGAACATGTATGCAGGTAGCAGTAGGGGAAAGGGAAGGAGGAGATGGGTCTAAGCAATGAGAAAAGGCATCACAAATGAGAAGAGAGTTTTGAGTTAAGACTTCAAGACAACTATTAAAGTCCAAGAACTAAATGCTAAAATACCTTGCAAGGTTTCAAACTTCATAAGCTTAAGTTTACAAATAAGATCATTGTTAACTAATCATGCTGACCTGAAAAAATACTTTTTTTAATAGCTGAAAGAGTTTCCTTCCCAATCCTCCACCTTCACCCCTGGCTTAACACCCTGCTGTCTTTAAACTTTATTCTAGGAAGATTTGAGAAAAGATCTGTGGTAAAGAAACATAAACTGTGTTAGCCCAACAATTCAATAATCCATGGAAAGTTATGCTATGAAAGGTGTAAATATTAGCTAAGGGAAATGTGTATCTTGTATATTTTCATACCACAGAATCTAAAAGAGCTGATTTGGGAGCAAACTGGTACTCTGATTTCAGACGTAACCTCACCTACCCCCCAAAACAATATACAAGCCTTAACCCCACTCAAAAAAAAAAAAATATATATATATATGTAGGGAACTATAAGAAGGGAACAGATGGAATAGATGGAGAGGCAAGATTTAAAGAGTTATTGATGACTTCTGCTTCAAGAAACTTCCCTGGTGGCTCAGATGGTAAAGTATCTGCCTGCAATGCAGGAGACCTGGGTTCAATCCCTGGGTTGGGAAGATCCCCTGGAGAAGGAAATGGCAACCCACTCCAGTACTCTTGCTTGTAAAATCCCATGGATGGAGGAACTTGGTATGCTATAGTCCATAGGGTCGCAAAGAGTCGGACGCGACTTCACTTTTTTTCTTTCTTTCTGCTTAAAGAAACCTCTCTTAAAACTCTACTAAAATGACAATGAATGGGTTACTAAAGGCACAAACTACAACAAAGAGGAAGAGCAACTGTAATACTTACATATGTACATGCATATATAAAAAGCTAAGAAGCAGATTACTGTTGTTTAGTCACCAAGTCCTGTCTGACTCTTTGAGACCTGGAAGGCTCTCTGACCTTGGGATTCTCTGGGCAAGAATATTAGAGTGGGTTGCCATTTCCTGCTCTAGGGGGTCTTCCTAACCCAGGGATCAGAACCTACATCCCCTGCCTTGCAAGTGGATTCTTTACCACTGAGCTACCAGGGAAGCTCTGAGAAGCAGATTAGTAGAAACTGACTTAGCCAACCCAAGAATGCTGAAACCTGGGAAAAAGTAAGAGGCAAATTCATTTAGACTGTAGAACTCCAAAAGGTTCAGGAATTCGTTGCAACAGGTAGCTCTGAAAAATGAGGTAAATGTGATGCCGACAATAGTAAAAAAAAAAAATTTTTTTTAAAGTTAGTGTTAGTGATTCAGTTATGGTCAATTCTTCAGAATCCCATGGACTGAAGCCTGCCAGGCTCCTCTGTACATGGAATTCTCCAGGCAAAAATACTGGAGTAGGTAACCATTCCCTTCCCCAGGGGATCTTCCCAACTTAGGGATTGAACCTGGATCTCCTGCATTAAGGCAGATTCTCTACCCTCTGAGCCACCATGGAAGACTGATGAGAACAAGAAGGTTGATAAGTTGAATATGAAGTCAGTAACCCAGATGTAAGGAAAGCAGGAGGTCAGAGAGAGAAGTTAGTGAATCAGAGGCCCAATCTAGGTAGAACCACTATTATGCCTTTTATACACTGGGCATCATGTAAAATACTGTCTGAGGAAAGGTACTGTCATTGGGGAAAATGTCCCTAAACCATCAACTCACACTATTGCAGACTGAGGGTACTGGCTTTAACATTTGGCTAAAATATCTTACCGAGTAATCAGGAAAATACACTAAGGCTCTGGCCTTAATTAAAAACATCTGAAAGGACTTAAAAGAAGAGCACAAGTCTGGGAAATGCCAACCAAGAGCCTAAAGATGAAAACTCCCCATTTCATTTTTGAGTCAAAAATAAGAGTTACTTTTAGAGACAAACCTAACAGGAGGTATTTTTATAGGACCCCTTCCTCTGGCTCATTCTGTCACCTAATGATCTTGTTTTGGCTGTTTTTGATACAAAATAGGAAGCTTTAAAATGCCTAGGAAAAAAAGAGTGGATTTCAAGTTTAACTGTAAGGTTAACCTAACCTGAGTTTGTTGTATATGAAAAAATGGAAAATTTCCTGCCATTTCAGTAAACAAGGATGTCACAGTCACGGGCAATTAAAGCCCTCCAACAGGAGCTAGTGAGCCCTGAGGGCACTCAGGAAGAAAAGAATACCTTTCATCTAGCAGCCATCAGACTGCAGCCACTCCCGAGGGTAAGCCTAGAGGAAACTCAGGATGTAAACACCAGATACTGGCCCCAAGATAGCTGAGGAGCATATCAAAGGAATGATTTTGGTGAACCCAGACTCTTGCATCTTCCCTTATATAGAAAAGCACTAAATTCCTTAACTTGAGTTATGAGGTTTTCTTTAATTTACAAAAGCTTTTGATGTTCAGACTACCTTCCTTTTGTCATAAAACTTCTATATAACCTAGCTCTTCCCCTCACCAACTCGGAGCAGTTCTCTCAGATTTACTTGAGATGCTGTTTCTCAGGCTTAAGGTCCTAAAAATTCCCACCAAATAAAACAGCTCTCAACTTTCAGGTTGAGAATATTTAGCTTCACACATATTAATCAGAGATTAAACTGCGTGGCATCAGACAGTCAGAGTTGAGCTTCAGTGCTACCATTTATTAGCCAGGTAACACTAGTAATTTAATTATTCCCAGGGCCTTGGTTTTCTTGACTATAAAAAAAATGAGAATATATTATCAATAACTACATTGAAATGTTGAAGTTAGGATTTAATAAGATAATGAGTAATAAAAGGGTTTAATATGGTGTCTGGGATGTAGTAAAAAAATTAGTTACCTTTATATTGCTCAAAGAGCCACAAACTTTAGAAGAAACACAAGCTATTAGGGCTAAAGAACATCAGTGGTTAGTGTTCCTAATTGAATAGCAAGGGAAGAGTTGAACATTCAAGATATAGTTGATTTTTATCTGTGTTTTAAATGAAAATTTCCCCCAATATCTTCTGTTTTGTCTTAAGAAAATCTAAAAACCTGAATCTTACAGCAAAATCAGTGTTGTTCAGTCCACATCAGATTTTGGTCTGGACCTATTTCTGCAAGAGGGTCCCCTTTCATATAGCGGGGGAGTATGTAATTTCCTTGGTTCTGTCTTGCCACAGCAAAAAGTTGAAATGACGGTGGACCAGTGTTATAGCTCAGTTTTATTGACAAGCAAAGGAAAAGGTGTGAGGGCAGGCCGACCCAAAAGACACAAAGCGAAGAGAAGCCCCCGCCCCGGAACTGGATCAATTTTATCTCCTCTTTTTATACGTTTTTCTCCTCCCCGTGAGCCTGTCCTATATAAATTGGGCTAGCCAGGAAGGCTGTTTGTTTTTCCTGAGGTCCTCACTTCAGTCCTCGGACCTTTCTTTGTTCTATTTTCAAGGGTTTTTCCCTTCTTTGTCTTTTAGACACTGCCATTTTGGATTCCTTTTTCCTATTCTAACTACCCAACACATACAAGCAGGCAGGTGCAGGTAGGTGGTTGATGCGCTGGAGAAGGTTGAATCCCGTATCTTTTCTGCTGGACTAAGCTCTTGGCCGGGTCAGTGTGGCCCCCTCACTAATCAATGGGCTTCCCAGGTGGCACATTGGTAAAGAATCTGCCTGCCAGTGCAGGAGACCCAAGAGACACAAATTCAATCCCTGGGTCGGGAAGATCCCCTGGAGTAGGAAATGGCAACCCACTCCAGTATTTTTGCCTGGAAAATTCCATGGACAGAGGAGCTTGGCGGGCTATTACAGTCCATGGGGTCACAAAGAGTCAGACGTGACTGAGTGACTGAGCAGGCATACACTAATCAATAAAAGCAATGCTAAGCTGCACCACGGTCCCAAAGTCCAGCTTGAGAGTTTTGTTTGCCTTGCCCCTGGTATTGTCACAAAGCCCCCAGGGAATCCAAATTTCACCACTCCTAGCCCTATGGTTTTTCTTCCCAAATGGTCCCCAATATTCCTTCCCTTCATGGTATTAACATAACATTTTCCTGTATGACTGAAACCAGACCTAACTTTAACTAATGAGAATATAAAGACTGGTATTAAGAAGATGAGGATGGACCAGAACAAGTAAAACATGGGTTCTCGAAAAATGGTCCTTGGGATCTTGTTAGAAATGTGAATTCGGCTCTGGCCCCCTCCGCCGCAGGCCGGCTAAACCGAGAAGTCCTCCCGCCGCCCTCGCACCGGCTCCTGGCTGCCGGTTGCGCGCTCTCAGTGCCGGGCGCTCTGCCAAGGAGACCGAATTCAGAGGCCAGCTCTGAGAGCCGGGCAGGACTGAGTCCTGAGAGGCCCGAGCGAGCTGTTTCTGGGCAGGAGGTGTCTGCGGCGCGACCGCTCTTTCAAGCGTTTGTGCTCCTGGAGCGGCTTGCACCGGTTTGGTGTAGCCCGATGTCCCTGCAGCATCTCCATCGCTGGTCCAAGGAGACTGAACCTCTCCCAGGTGGAGCTCACTGGATGCTTGTTTGTTTCTGCTCCCAGTAAACCTACAAGAGATCTCATGACCCCAGCAATTTCTAAAGGCGGGTCCTGGCGCCTAACAAAGGCAAACAGGTTATTTTCATCAACTCTGGAGCCTTACATTTTTCTCCGGCCATTGTTTTAGAGGTTCCATGAAGATATTATGAACGTGCACTAGGGCCTTCCCCTCACCTCCTCCTGAAATGGACAGTTACCCTTGGGTGTCTGGTGAAGATTACTGCCAATGCAGTAATAGCATGTTTCTGAGAAGCCTAGCCACTGGACATTAGTGCCACTAACGACAATGTAATGCTTCACTGTTCCTTTAAGAATGAGGCCTGCTTTGATCAGCAGTGTTTTCATTTGTTGCTTGTTTCTGTGTTTGTGTGTGGTTTCACTGGGCCTATATTCCCTTCGTGCTATTGATAATCCTTCACTTAAATGAAATCACAGACTGGGATTAGCAGCAGCCATGCTCCCTGGGGCTAAAATTAGAAAAGCCAAGGGAACTCTTCAGGCATATCCTTCTTGTCTCATAAAAGATTCTGCAGTCTCTCCTGAGACTCCCACTTCAGCACTTACTGTAAGATGCTGCTTAAATACTCTTTAAGATAGCATTTTTATATGTACCATAGCTTTCTTATCCATTCACATGCTGATGGGCATCTGGGTTGCTTCCATGTCCTGGCTATTATAAACAGTGCTGCGATGAATATTGGGGTGCGCCTGTCTCTTTCAGTTCTGGTTTCCTTGGTGTGTATGCCCAGGAGTGGGATTGCTGGGTCATATGGCAGTTCTAGTTCCAGTTTTTTAAGGAATCTTCACACTGTTCTCCATAGTGGCTGTACTAGTTTGCATTCCCACCAACAGTGTAAGAGGGTTCCCTTTTTTCCACAGCTATGGTACATATACACAATGGAATATTACTCAGCCATTAAAAAGAATTCATTTGAATCAGTTCTAATGAGATGGATAAAACTGGAGCCCATTATACAGAGTGAAGTAAGCCAGAAAGATAAACACCAATACAGTATACTAACGCATATATATGGAATTTAGAAAGATAGTAATGATAACCCTATATGCAAGGCAGAAAAAGAGATGCAGATGTATAGAACAGACTTTTGGACTCTATGGGAGAAGGCAGCAGTGGGATGATATGAGAGAATAGCATTGAAACATGTGTATTATCAAGTGTGAAACAGATTGCCAGTCCAGGTTGGATGCATGAGACAAGTGCTTGGGGCTGGTGCACTGGGATGACCCAGAGGGATGGGATGGGGAGGGAGGTGGGAGGGGGGTTCAGGATGGGGAACACATGTAAATCCATGGCTGATTCATGTCAATGTATGGCAAAAACCACTACAATATTGTAAAGTAATTAGCCTCCAACTAATAAAAATAAATGGAAAAAAAAATGTGAATTACAGCATCAGGACCACCTGGGAATCTGTCAGATATGCAAATTCTTAGGCCCCACCCAAAACCTACTGAATCAAAATCTCTGAGGGTGGAGCCTAGCACTCTGATTTAATAGCCCTACTGATGATTTTGATGCATGCTTACATTTGAAAGCCACTTATGTAAAACAAAGGTTTTTAATGTCAACTGCCTGGAGAATCCCAGGGACAGAGGAGCCTGGTCGGCTGCCATCTGTGGGGTCGCACAGATTCGTGTCTGAGTCTGATTCAGACACGACTGAAACGACTTAGCAGCAGCTGCAGCAAAAGGGACTTTGGTTAGGCAAAGGAAGGTTTTTGTCAGAGAACTAATAGCAATTAACAGTATTCAAGACTGAGTTGTGAGGACAAAAACAAGAGCTGCCATAGTCATAAAAGACTTGTATAATTACTTTCCAGTGTTTATCTTTCTCACTTAGCTATACTGTTGCTTTGTGGTCGCTAAGTCATGCCCAACTCTTTGTGATCTCATGAGCTGTAGTCTGCCAGGTTCCTCCATCCATGAGATTTCCCAGGAAAGAATACTGGAGCGGGTTGCCATTTCCTCCTACAGGGTATCTTCCCGACTCAGGGATTGAACCTGAGTTTCCAGTGTCTCCTGCATTGGCAGGCAGATTCTTTTTACCACTGAGCCACCTGGGAAGCCCTCCCACTTAGCTATAAGCCCCAAGAAATCAAGAACAGCCTTGTTCAAAGTGTAGGGGCATAACAGTCAATGCCAAGCTCTGTTCCACATCAGTAACAAAGCAGCCCTAAATCTTAGTGGCTTTCAACAACAAAGGCTTTCACTAACATTAAACATTCATCAAGGATTGGTGGGACTGTGCCCCATGTCATTCCTATTCTAGAGTGAAAGAGACTTCACCAGTGGGAATTATTGTGACAGAAAGGAGACTGTGGCTTTTGAAGGTTCTTTCCAGTAAGGGCACTTATCACTTCTGCACACATTTCACTAATCAAATCAAGTCAAATGGTCAACTTGAGTTCAATGGGGCAGCCCTGCCATTTCCCTTTGAGGAGAGAACTAATATGTGTAAACAGCTAATAACTCTACAAAGAGTACCAGTCCCTCTGGGGCTGGTGTCCTCATTTCACAGGAAAGAAAAACGAGATAAGAGAGAAGTTATGCAATTTGCTTCCAAATTTCCAGGTGGCACTAGTGGTAAAGAACCCACCTGCCAATGCAGAAAATGAGACATGGGCTCAATCCCTAGGTCAGGAAGATTCACTAGAGGAGGGAATGTTAACCGACTCCAGTATTCTTGCCTGGAAAATTCCATTGACAGAGGAACTTGGTGGGCTATGGTCCATAGGGTCTCAAAGAATCAGACATGATTGAAGTGACTTAGCACACCTTTAGCAGGTAGGTAGCAGAGCCAGATTTCTGTTTTCAGACTCCAAAGTTCATGCTGTGAAACACTGTCACATAGATGTGGAGACAATAGGAAGGGGTATTTGGTTTTGTAAGAGATTAATTGAGCTGTAGTTGGTTGTTGGACTTAAATTGGAAATCCCCACAGCAACTCAGAATGTGGAACTAGAGGAGAAGAGAGACAAGAGAACTAGATACATAGAGACAGGGAACTTTCATGTCCAGTTCAGCTCAGTTCAGTTGCTCAGTCAAGTCTGACTCTTTGCGACCCCATGGGCTGCAGCATGCCAGGTCTCCCTGTCCATCACCAACTCCTGGAGCTTACTCAAACTCATGTCCATTGAGTCGGTGATGCCATCCAACCATCTCATCCCCTGTAGTCCCCTTCTCCTTCTGACTTCAATCTCTCCCAGCAACAGGGTCTTTTCAAATGAGTCAGTTCTTCACATCAGGTGGCCAAAGTATTGGAGTTTCAGCTTCAGCATCAGTGCTTCTAATGGATGCACAGGACTGATTTCCTTTAGGATGGACTGGTTGGACCTCCTTGCAGTCCAAGGGACTCTCAAGAGTCTTCTCCAACACCACAGTTCAAAAGCATCAATTCTTCAGCACTCAGCTTTCTTTATAGTCCAACTCTCACATCCATACATGACTACTGGAAAAACCATAGCTTTGACTAGATGGACCTTTGTTGGCAAAGTAATGTCTCTGATTTTTAATATGCTGTCTAGATTGGTCATAACTTTTCTTCCAAGAAAGCATCTTTTAATTTCATGGATGCAGTCACCATCCGCAGTGATTTTGGAGCCCCCCCCAAAATAAAGTCTCTCACTGTTTCCACTGTTTCCCCATCTATTTGCCATGAAGTGATGGGACCAGATACCATGATCTTAGTTTTCCGAATGTTGAGTTTTAAGCCAACTTTTTCACTCTCCGCTTTCACCTTCATCAAGAGGCTCTTTAGTTCTTCTTCGCTTTCTGCCATAAGGGTGGTGTCATCTGCATATCTGAGGTTATTGATATTTCTCCCGGCAATCTTGATTCCACATTGCGTTTCATTCAGCCAGGCATTTCTCATGATCTACTCTGCATATAAGTTAAACAAGAAGTGGGGGGCAATATACAGCCTTGACGTACTCCTTTTCTTATTTGGAACCAGTCTGTTGTTCCATGTTCAGTTCTAACTGTTGCTTCCTAACCTGTATACAGATTTCTCAGGAGGCAGGTCAGGTGGTCTGGTATTCCCTTCTAAGAATTTTCCACAGTTTGTTGTGAGCCACACAGTCAAAGCTTTGACATAGTCAATAAAGCAGAAGTAGATATTTTTCTGGACCTCCCTTGCTTTTTTGATGATCTAATGGCAATTTGATCATCTGGATGGCAATGGCATGGCAATGGCAATGGTAATGGCAATGGCAAGTTGATCTCTGGTTCCTCTGCCTTTTCTCAATCCAGCCTGAACATCTGGAAGTTCACAGTTCACGTGTTGTTGAAGCCTGGCTTGGAGAATTTTTAGCATTACTTTGCTAGTGTGTGAGATGTGTGAAATTGTGTCATAGTTTGAGCATTCTTTGGCATTGTCTTTCTTTGGGATTGGAATGAAAATTGACCATTTCCAGTCCTGTGGCCACTTCTGAGTTTTCCAAATTTGCTGGCATATTGAATGCAGCACTTTCAGAGCATCATCTTTTAGGATTTGAAATAGCTCAACTGGAATCCCATCACTTCCACTAGCTTTGTTTATAGTGATGCTTCCTAAGGCCCACTTGGCTCTGCATTCCAGGATGTCTGGCTCTAGGTGTGTGATCACACCATTGTGATTATTTGGATCATGAAGGTCTTTTTTGTATAGTTCTTCTATGTATTCTTGCCACCTCTTCTTAATATCTTCTGCTTCTATTAGGTCCATACCATTTCTGTCCTTTATTGTGCCCATCTTTGCATGAAAATTTCCCTTGGTCTAATTTTCTTGAAGCGATCTCTAGTCTTTCCCATTCTGTTGTTTTCCCCAATTTCTTTGTGTTGATCACTGAGGAAAGGTTTCTTATCTCTCTTTGCTATTCTTTGAGTGTCTGGCTTTCATGTGGTTTTTCTCTAAAGGCAGAAAAACAAATGGAAAGCTGTCCCCAGGGTATCTGCATATTGAGGATGAGAGGAACGCTGATAAGAAAGTAATTATGAAAGAAAGAAGAAAACCCAAGAAAAAAAGGCCTTTAGGGAGATCTCAAGGTCAAGACTGTTCCTGTTCCAACAGGAAGTTGGAAGGTGGTAATAAATGTTTTTAATTCATTAAATTTGGATAAGAAGAAATCTAAAGTGTCCACAGGAGAGTAGATTTAATAAAGTAGTGGAAAGGGAGTCTTCAAATTTCTAGCACCAGAAAGAGAAAAGAAACTGTGGGTATGAGCCACAAAATTGAAGTATTTAGAAATAGAAACAATACTAGAACAAATATATGGGTGAGTTGAGAGGCAAGCCTGGGGTTTCATATTTTACCAAGGGAAATGGACAAATGTAGGAAGATAGAGCATTGAAGTGAATGAGACAGAAGCACACAGATAGACTACAAGGATGCAGTAGAAGTGGGATTGATTTGATCCACACGGCAGGCTGCAAGGATGACTTCAATAGACAGCAGGTCTTTTCTTCCTCTGAAATAGGGGAAGTGTGAGAGGATAAAGGGAGCGAAATTGCTGATAGTAGATAAAGTCAAGGGCTCTGAGAGTGCACAATTGATGACTAAATCTAGCCACAGGCCAACCCAAAATCACAAAAGATTTCATCTTCCTGCATTCAAATGCTCTATCTGCCCAGTCCACACCTGGGTATCTCCAGGGACTTTTTTCACTCATAGTAACCATTTTTCTTTTCTTTCTCCCAATCACAAGATTACACTGGTTTAGAAAATTGATCATTCTTGTGGCCAATACAGCTATTTGTCACCCAATATCCATTTTTCTTATCTTCCTTATTAAATGGCCCAAGTTTTCTTGGAGAAGCAATAACTCACTTAAATTCTTGCTTTCCCAGCCTCCCTTACATTTCTAGCCAAAGAAACATTACAGGGTAGCAGTCTTGTCCCTCTGTTGGCAAGTAGGGATGTCTGCTGGGAACATGTGTTGGGATTGGGAATTTTAGGGCACTGCAGTGTATGACTTCTGTATGTTAAAAAGCCCTAATGGGGCAGGGGAAATCCTGACTGGCTCAGTAGACCCAGACCTGTATTCTTCCATGGAAGACTCAGGGCAGCATCTTTCTGGTCACTCTCCTCTGTTCTTCCTGCTTAATCCTGGGGGTATAATTTTGTGACCAATAGGGAACAACCAAGAGAAACAAATGTCATCTTCTCTAACATATTTATGTCCAAGACCATAGAGTCACAAGGTTCTCAGGAGATGCAGGTGACATGCTGCTCTCAGAGAAGAACATTTGTTCTGGAAACATCTAAAAAGACAATGAAGGAATGCTCTTCAAACCTTGCATTTCAGTTCTCTCCTTAACTCTGCTGTGCTAGTAGACTCTTTGATGTCTTAGAAAACCATGGACATAAAGAGGAAGATTCACTCATATTACTAATGTCTCATTTGTTAATTGTATAACTTCAGTTAAAAACTAACATTCTTTTCAAGAAGCAAGCAATCACTAGTCTAAATTTTCACATGTAACTTTTGTAACTAATTTCTGGATTTGGAATCTAACAAATTAGATTTCCCCAAACATATTAATTGGTTACAAACTAATATAATAAAATGTTAGAAATAATTTAATTAAAATTGTGATTTTAATATTTCATATTTTCTGAAAAGTCTAACAAAATGAAAAAATAAAACAAATTTAAATATTTTTTATGATTCTTTAAACTGATTACAAAGGTGCTGGAGTCAAAATAAATTTTAATTTTATCATATATTCTTATGCTTCTTCCTTCCTAGAATTTTTATTTTTTACGTCGTACAAAGTTTTCTCAGGACTGACGTAGTTTACCAGTACAAAAGAAAAAGATTACCATCTTAGTGCAGTTGAGATACAAGGTTCTGAAATTCTATAACTAATAGATTTTGGTTAGCCTGTTATGCCCGATATCCGAATCCCTGAGCGGGAAGAGAGAAGGCTTCCAAGACAATGCAACTCGCATAAAAGGGAAGTTTATTACTGACTCGAGTCAGGACTCCTGCCAAGCGTCCAACACAGTGGTATGGGGTCAGAGAGCGCTAAGCCCAAGCTGTTACCCAATTTATAAGATGTGCATAAGCAGTTGGTAGCTGGCTTAAGCGGATTGGCTACATGTTTGCAAAGTAATCTTATTGGCCCAAACCTTCGCGGGCTTTTTTCAAACTTGGGCGTTCTCGGGCTTTTCAGCTTTCCCCTGATAGGTTCCCTTTTTCTTACTAGGCGTATGTTGATTGGCTGGCTCCAGGTGGCCTGATAATCATGTTACCCTGGAAAACCAGGCCTACTCTTAATCTAGGCTGCCTGTCATGGTGCAGCCTCACATTCCCCCCTGTCTTGTTGTTTCTGTAGAGGAATCTTTCTCTTCATCCTGGGCTACCATCTGATATTGTTGCCTAAGTACCATAATCTGAATGGTATTTAGGCGTTCTTTAATAAAAGACATTAACCGGTTTAAAATGCAAGGACCAATCGTTAGTGTCAATAACAGTACTATAAGTGGACCCAGAAGGGTGGAAACTAAGGTGGCCAGCCAGGGGGAGCATTGAAACCAAGACTCAAACCATGATTGTTCATTTTCTCTTTCTTGTTTTCGCCTGCTTAGGCCTTCTCTAACTTTTTGAAGAGATTTCTGTACTACTCCTGAGTGGTCAATATAAAAACAGCAGTCTTCTCCTAGGGCTGCACATAGTCCTCCTTGTTGTAAGAACAGCAGATCTAAACCCCTTCTATTTTGTAACACTACCTCAGCCAGAGAACTTAAGGATTCTTGGAGGTGGGAAATGGATTTTTCGAGTTGTTCAATATCTTCATCTATTGCAGCCCTTAACTGGTTATACTGTTTATCTTGGAGAGTTAAGGCTGCAATTCCACTTCCAGTTCCTATAGCCCCCAATCCCAACAGGACAGTTAAAGTTAGGGCAGTGACGGGCTCTCTTTTTACCCTATACTGACCTGGTGTCTCTAACCTTGGTTGCAGTTCTTCTGGGTAATAGTTCAGCCAGGGAATTAGATGGACTAGGACGCAGAAATCTTGGGAGGTTTTTAGTGCTGCCTGATGGGCACATAGAGTTAGTCCGGCGGAGCAAGCCCACCACCCATTTCCTGGTGGGATGATCCACTGGTGAGTGGAATTAGTGAGGTTAGTCATAGAGACTGTGTGATTACGTAGGTGTTGATAAGTCTCAGGGATAGCTCCTATGCAGGTGCCTATACCCCTAATGGAGCTTACTGTCAGGCGGCCTGTGCCAGGTTGTTGCTGCCATCTACAGGCTGAGACATCGGCTGTCATATTGAATCCTGAAGAAAAAGCAACTGCCTCATAATAAGGAGGCCTAATATTATAGCAGAGCCAGCAACCATCTGTTAAGTCCGGACAAGAGGCATTAAGGGTAAGGTAAGCTGAGGAGATCATTTTTATAAGGGGGTCTGTAGGTGGGGACATGTCAACTATGGGGGGAGCTATGGGGTGTGGAGTAGATCCAGTATCCCGACTTTGGTTCTGGGAGGGAGGTTTTGGGGTTGTCCTCTGGGAAGAAGGTTTTGGGGCTGTCACCTGGTTTGGTCCCAAAGCTACCTTGGGGGCCAAATAGAGTGGTCCCAGTTGTAATTTGAGCTCAAACCAGAATCCATTATCGGATCCAGTCTGATAAAGACGTAGGCCCCAGGCTCTGCCTACGTCCCACCTGGTAAACCTTTTTCCCTCATCAGTGAACTTAATCTGTAATGGAAAACATTGTCCAGGTTTAGATGACAACATCTTACATGGTGGGAAATCTTGGGGTAATTTTACCTGAATGAGGTCTTTGACGGGATTGGTGAGCCAATGGACCTTTCCTGTAGTTTCACATCCCCAAGTGGCGCAATAAAAAGGATCAACTCCCCTACATCTTGCAATTTGGTTCCGATCCCTTCCTCCCCCCGGACAGACATATACGGGTGTTGGTTTTGTGCATGGTGTGTCTCCCTGGAAGGCCCAGTCAAAAAGGCCGAGGGTTTCAAACTGAGGGCTCCCGATGAAGTCACTCAGTTGACTGGGACTGTGGAAGCCGTTAATGTTGGCTGCCAGGACGCATAAATCAAAGGTCAATTCAGGCCACCATGTCCCTTTGGGGGCTACGTTGGAACTCGAATTAAGTAGTCCTCCGGTCTCAGGGTTGTAGACCACCCAAGTCATGTTAACCGGATGATGAGGGTTCTGGCTGGTCGCTCCTGGGACAATGACAGCCACCATCAGCAGGAGAATTAGGAGGCCTCCCGTCGAACAAGTTTCAGTTTCAAAAGGATTTGATGGGTGAGGACTCGCCTTCCATTCTGCTCGCGCTTTTTCCTGTTCTTCCGGAGTGGCTTGCCGCACGTGATTGCAGTGAACCCAGGGTCCAATCCCGTCGACCTTAACAGCAGTAGGAGTGGTAAGGAGAACAACATAGGGGCCTTGCCATCTGGGTTCTGATACTTTAGATCGGTGCCGTTTTACCCAAACCCAATCACCTGGGCCAATGGTATGTGAGGGGAGGGCCCCCTTACTTTGACCCTCGTGTATCTCTCGAATCAATTTCCAAACATGGTTATGCACCTTACTTAATGCCATCAGAGTTTGCTGGAATTGTCCCAAAGTAGGGGGTGGCAGGCATTTTTCCTCGAAAATAGGACACACAGGAGGGGGTCTTCCACACAGAATCTCAAAAGGGGTAAAATTCAGTTTATAAGGGGTGTTACGCACCCGAAAGAGTGCGAAGGGAAGGAGGGTCACCCAGTCCCCGCCAGTCTCTATTGCCAACTTTGTCAAAGTTTCTCTTAGGGTCCAATTCATTCTCTCAACCTGTCCTGAGCTCTGGGAATTATATTCACAATTTCGCTTCCATTTTGTCCCCAGAGCTTGGGCCAGCCCTTGTACAATCTGGCTCACAAAGGCAGGTCCGTTATCAGAGCCCATAGTCACTGGCAGCCCGTACCTAGGCACTATATCATCTAAGATCTTTTTAGCAACCACTATTGCTGTCTCTCCCTTAGTGGGGAAGGCTTCTACCCACCCCGAGAAGGTATCTACCAGAACCAACAGATAGCAATACCCGTACTTGCCTGGTCTTACCTCAGTGAAATCTATCTCCCAGTGTTTCCCTGGCTCTTCCCCTTGGTACCTCATTCCCGTGTGCTGCTTTTTCTCTGTCCTCATCAGCTGGCACGCTTTGCAAGCCTGGATTATCTCTCGTACAGTTGCATTTTGTCGAGGGAACCTCAGGCAGGCTGTCTGGAGAAGTGTCAAGGTCTTTTTCTCTCCCAAGTGTGTAGTTGTGTGCAGGTGTTCACACAGGTGACGACCCAGGATGGCAGGCAATATCAGGTTGTTGTTTTGATCTCCGTACCATCCATCTTTGTCATCCTTCTGGAGGGCGGTATCCTCGTTGATTCAGGTGAGATCAGGGAGGGAATATTCGGGAACTGGTGGCAAGGCCCCCATACCAGGAGGTGGAAGTCCCACGGCTAATATGGGGGCGGCGTAGTCCCGGCTAGCCGCTTTTCGAGCGGCTGCAGCACGGTCTTCTCCTTTCTGGTGACCGGGGACATGTACTATTGCTACTGCCCAGGGCAGTTGGACAGCTTTCAGGAGCCTGCGAATCTCGGGCAAATTTTTTACCTCCTTTCCCTCAGCTGTCCGAAATCCCCTTTCTTGGTATATTGGACCTTGAATATGGGCAGTGCTGAAAGCATATCGGCTTTCAGTAAAAATGGTGACTCTCTTCCCTTTGGCTTGCTCCAGAGCCTGTATTAGGGCAATCAATTCTGCTTTTTGCGCAGAAGTGTTTGGGGGAATTGTCTCAGCCCATATCGTCTGTCCTGAATCATCAACTATGGCGGCTCCCGCCTTCCTTTGCCCATCTCTTACATAGCTGCTCCCATCGATGAACCATACTAGCTCACTGTTGTTCAGTGGTACATCAGTTAAGTCTTTTCATGCCGCCAGGGCCTCAGCCAGTATCTCACTGCAATCATGGAGAGGGCGGTCTTTCTCTGGGTTAGGTAGGAGCATGGCTGGATTCAGGAAGCAAGGGGTCTGAAAACGCACCCATGGGGCATCAAGCAGCAAGGCCTGGTAATGTGTCAAGGGGGCATTGGAGATCCACTTACCCGGCGGCTGCTTTAAAACCCCTTCGATGGCATGGGGGATGTAAACCCAGAGTTGCTGTCCATACGTCAACTTGTCAGCATCGCGGATGAGGAGGGCAGTGGCTGCGATGATGCAAAGGCAAGGGGGCCACCCAGCAGCCACCGGGTCTAATCGCTTTGAAAGGTATGCCACCGGCCACTTCCATGGTCCCCATTGTTGCATCAAGACCCCCTTTACTATTCCTTGCTTTTCATCTACAAACAGCTGGAATGGCTTATTTGGGTTAGGCAGGGCAAGGGCTGGGGCTTCTAGTAGGGCCTGTCTGAGTGTCTGGAAAGCCTGTTTCATTGGCTCAGTCCAAGTCCAGTTTGGGGTCTTTTGCTTCCCTCATACAAGGGCTGGGCCTTCTCAGCAAACCCCATGATCCACAGTCTGCAATATCCAACAGTCCCCAGAAACTCTCTCACCTGGCGGGAGGTCTTGGGCTCTGGTATCTGCAATATTGTTTCCTTCATGGCCTGAGTTAGCCACCTTTGCCCCTGCCTGACCTTATACCCCAAATAGGTGACCTCTTCCCGGGCTATTTGTGCCTTCTTTGCACTAGCGCGATACCCCAAGGTGCCTAGAGTCTGCAAGAGGTCCCCGGTGGCACAGCTGCATGCCTTCTCTGTGGTTCCAGCCAACATAAGGTCATCTACATATTGCAGCAGGATGACCTCTGGGTGGCAAGTCCTATATTCATAGAGGTCCTCACTCAAAGCCTCATTAAACAAAGGAGTTCTTGAACCCCTGTGGGAGGCGGGTCCAAGTTAATCGTACTACCGGTTGGCCTTCCCCCTCAGTCCACTCAAAGGCAAATATCTCCTGGCTCTGGGCCGCCAGGGGTAGGCTGAAAAAAGCATCTTTTAAGTCCAACACAGTGTACCAAGTGTACTCAGGCAGTAAACTGCTCAGGAGGGTATACAGGTTAGGGACAGTAGGGTGTATGTCACTCACCCGTTTGTTGACTTCTCACAGGTCTTGGACAGGTCTGTAATCTGTACCCCCTGGCTTCTTCACCAGCAGTAAGGGGGTGTTCCAAGGGGATTGGCACCGCTTGAGAATTCCAACATCCATGAGCCATCGAATGTGGGGAGTGATCCCGCGCTGAGCTTCCTGGCTCATAGGGTACTGTCTCAGCCTCTCAGGAATTGCCTCGGCCTTTAGCTCGATGACGACCGGATGTCTCTGTTTGGCCAGTCTCATTCCTGCTCTTTCTGCCCAGGCTAATGGGTATTTATGGACCCACGTTTGTACATCTGGTGCTATAACCTCTGAGGGCTTAGGCGCAAAAAGTCTGTATTCATCTCTTAAAGCTAGGGATAAGACATGTATCGGCTGTCCAAGTCCATCCGTGACTGACATTCCCCCAGGGTCAAAATGGATCTGAGCATTAACTTTAGTCAACAAGTCTCTTCCAAGTAGAGGGGCTGGGCATTCTGGTATCACCAAAAACGAATGGGACACCTGGTGGGTCCCCAGATTTACTTTCTGTTCTGTGGTCCTACAATATCTTTTTGTCCCCGTGGCTCCCTGCATCAAGCTGGTTTTCTTAGACATTGGTCCCAGTTTTTCATTTAAAACAGAGTGTTGGGCGCCAGTATCTACCATGAAGCCAACGGGTTTCCCCTCCACATGTATGGTTACCCAGGACTCGGGGAGAGGTGCCGAGTCTTGACCCCCCTAGTCACTGTCTTCCCCCACATATAAAACTCGAGTTCCAGAGGAGATTCTCTCTCTCTGGGTTGTTCCTCTCCTCGGGTCACTCTTAGGGCACTTGTTTTTCCAGTGCCCCCGTTCTTTGCAGTAAGTGCACTGATCTTTCTTTAGGGCCTACCTTTTTGGTCTCTCTTTTTCTCCTGTCTGGGGGTCTCGAGGCTCCCTCAATTCTGTTCCGGCCTTCATCCCCGCAAAAAGAATCTGGGCTAGCTCCCTCTGGTTCTTCCGGTTTTCCTTCGCCCTATGTTCCCTATCTTCCTTCCTGATCTTCTCAGGTGATTCCCTTTCCTACCGTCGAATTCGCTCTTCCCTTTCTTCTGGGGTCTCTCTATTATTAAATACCTTTTCAGCTGCTTTCAGTAAATCTTGTATTGTCTGTTCTCCCAATCCCTCTATCTTTTGTAATTTCCTCCTAATATCTGGGGCTGCCTGATTTACAAACGCTAACAGAACTGCAGCACGTGACTCCTCAGCCTGGGGTTCCATAGGTGTATATTGCCTAAAGGCTTCTGTCAGCCTCTCTAGGAAGGCTGCCGGGCTCTCAGTGGGCTCTTGCCTTACTAAATTTACCTTTGCCAAATTTGTCAGCTTTCTTGCTGCGGCCCGCAGGCCAGCCATCAGAGTCTGCTGGTACACTCGGAGATGCTCCCTACCTTCCACCCGCTCAAAATCCCAGTTAGGCCGCAACAGAGGAAACCCCTCGTCCACGAGATGAGGCTGGGTGGTTGGCCTCCCGTTGGCCCCCGGGACCCGTTTCTGAGCCTCTGCCAGAATTCACTCCCATTCTTCTGTGGTGAAGAGCACCTGCAACAGCTGTTGACAATCGTCCCAGGTGGGTTGTGAGTGAACAAAATGGAATCTAAGAGGTCAATGAGGCCTTGGGGTTTCTCTGAGAAAGGAGGGTTCTGGGTTTTCCAATTATACAGGTCACTCGTGGAAAAGGGCCAGTACTGATAGGTTTTTCTCTCCGTCCGGGTTAGCTGGTCCCACTCGGACGGGGAGCGCCTGAACGGTGGATGAAGGTAACTCTGGGTCCCCAGAGTCTTGTCCACCCCTAGTTCTCCCCCAGGTCCCCAATGTTGGCCCCCCTCACGGTCGGTTCCCATTGGCCCTCTTAATCCTCTCGGTTCACCCGTGGGAGCTTCTCTCCTCAGAGAGAATTGCAAGGGGGGCACATATGGCGGAGGCCTTATCTCTGTTTCTAGATCTATCAGGTTTGGATAAGATGATTCCTGAAGGACTGGTTTTGGGTCCTCTTTCTTTTTGGTTTCTTCCGGGGGGGTCTCCATCACCAGGACCTGTGAATTGGAAGAACTAGGAAGTTTGTAAACGAAAGGTTTTAACGACTCAGGCAGATTTTCTACTAGATCTTGCCAGACCATGACATAGGGGACCTGATCCGAATAGCCCCAGGGATCAGGAGCCATAATCTTCTCCCTGATGGCCTGTATGATGGATGGTTGAAAGGTGCCTTCCGGAGGCCATCCAACCCGGAAGGTGGGCCACTCTGCAGAGCAAAATTTATTAATTTACTTTTTTTGACTAGTAAAGACAAGTTATGGGCCCTGGCCCTGACATCCGAAAAATAGTCGGTCATGAGAGAAAGTAGGGTAGATTCCCCCTGACCCATGGTCCAAGAATAAATGGTAGGGGAGAGAGAGAGAGAAGTCACTGAGAACGACCACCAAAAAACCCTACCGGGAGTGGTGGCGGCCAAGAGGTTGGATTTATGGTATGCTTTTGGAACTGTTTATGTGCCTGCGTCATTGCAAGGAAGTTTTCTTGCTGGGGGCGGGCACCCTAGAGGTTTGTACCCCGTTCTGTGGCCCCCTTATCCTCTCATGGGAGTCTTCAAGTGGCAGGCGCCCTAATGGCCTTTAAGTGCCTGACCCGTGCCCACACAAAGAATTTTAGGCCACGTCCTCAGTTAGGGATGTTAAAGGAGAGTTTCACCCGATCGGGCTCCCGTTACTGAGGCTTACTTATTGTAGGGCCTTCAGAGTCCGCCAGAGTGTAGCCCTGGCCGGGACTCATCAATTGCTCCCACAACCGTTCGCCTGTTCACTGAAACTCCCGAAAATAAAAGTTGAGGGCAGATCAGAGAAGAAGAGGAAAGGAGAGTAAGTCAGAAGAGAGAAGAGAACGATGCACCAGAAGAGAATGAGACCAGAGACAATGCTGACACACACACACAAACAAGGAGGGTTGTAGACAAACACATGGATAGACAAATGTCGGCCGACAACACAGCGCTGGGTTTTCGGGCCCCCTGAGTCCTCTTGCCTCCCGGTACAAGGTTTATCTTACCGAATGGCATCCACTGTTCACCAGACTCGTGATCAGGAGAGGAACTCCCCTTCCCGCAGAGCCGGCAGCCTTCCAGCGCGCTCGCTGGCCTCGGTCTTGCACCGGCTGGAACGTCCAATCCGTTCCCCCTTTATAGAAAGCTTTCTCCTGTGCCAGATACCTTCCTGCTTCTTAGCAGGGCCTCGGATTTACACTGGACTTTCCTGTCCTGCCTGAGCACCCGTGCTATATCTATCCTTCCCCTCTGTCCTGGAAGTGTTCTCCCTCCCCAGTCAAGGGATCCCGGACGAGCCCCCAAATGTTATACCCGATGTCCGAATCCCTGAGTGGGAAGAGAGGAGGCTTCCAAGACAATGCAGCTCGCATAAAAGGGAAGTTTATTGCTGACTCGAGTCAGGGCTCCTGCCGAGCGTCCAACGCAGTGGTATGGGGTCAGAGAGCGCTGAGTCCAAGCTGTTACCCAATTTATAAGGTGTGCAGAAGCAGTTGGTAGCTGGCTTAAGCGGATTGGTTACATGTTTGCAAAGTAATCTTATTGGCCCAAACCTTCGCGGGCTTTTTTCAAACTTGGGCGTTCGCGGGCTTTTCAACTTTCCCCTGATAGGTTCCCTTTTTCTTACTAGGCACATGTTGATTGGCTGGCTCCAGGTGGCCTGATAATCATGTTACCCTGGAAAACCAGGCCTACTCCTAATCTAAGCCGCCTGTCATGGCGCAGCCTCACATTCCTTGGCTGGCTCCAGGTGGCCTGATAATCATGTTACCCTGGAAAACCAGGCCTACTCCTAATCTAGGCTGCCTGCCATGGCGCAGCCTCACAAGCCATGAGTCCTAACTGGGTAGACCACTGTGATTTAAAACCAAGCCTTGGGATATTAGTCTGAGTCTCTTTTTATAATAATAGAGAAGGACAGGGAAGCCTGATTTTGTGACTTCATGGAGTTGCAAAGAGTCAGACACAACTTAGCGACAGCTACACTATGAGACTTTTAAGTCTCTACCTGAGGCAGGTGACAGATGAGCTCCAGACTAGATATTTACTACCAGTGTCTTATTTATACTTCAAGATAGAAGTAACAACAGGAAAGGGGTGAATAGCTGGACTTTTTCTCTTGGGTACACATTAAGATAACAGTAATAGCAGGGATGCAGAGGGACTAAAGCCTGCTTGGGTGAAAGATCAATAGGTGACATAGTCTCATTCTTGGAGTCAAGGAGACCTTGACTACATACATCAGAAAGTTTCCTCGGGTATCGAAAGGGAGAGAACACCAGGCCATAATAAGTTTTGCTAACTTCCCAGGGACCCTTGCACTGAAATCCATCTTGGCTAAAGGATGCATGCACACAAAGGAGAGGGCACTGAGTCAAAGAATAAAGCAAGATGATTGGCCAAAGGAAAACAAAGACCTGGAAGAACTGTCATCATATAAGTGACTTAACCCACCCCAAAGGTTGATTAAAATGCATTGCTCTCTCTCTCTTACTAAGCCTTCCCACGTGTCTATCCACACATATTCATCTCTTAATAAACACTCTACCTACTTTATTATTTTCTTTCTCTTTGTTGAAATTCTTTTCCAAAAGGGACAAGAGTCAGGGCAGCTCTGTAGTTTCAGGTTCAACCCCTGGTTGGGGAACTGAGATCTTGCTTCAACTCTCTACAGCCATGTTCACCCCACAGCATCCCTGATGGTGGTGGTTTAGTTCCTAAGTTGTGCCTGACTCTTGCGACCCTATGGACTGTAGACCACCAGGCTCCTCTGTCCATGGGATCCTCCAGGCAAGAATACTGGAGTGGGTTGCCATGTCCATCTCCAACAGCACCTCTGAAAGCATACCTTTCAAATAGGTTTTAAAGTTTTGAAACATGTTGGTTTTCCAGAAATAATGTTACTTAATTTTCGGATGACTAACATTTCTTAACGTGAAGGTAATGAATATCTGTCTGTGGGTATTAATTGAAAACTTATATAACCAATAAGAATTAAATATGCATGCTCACTAAGTAGCTTCAGTCATGTCTGACTCTTTGAGACCCCACAGACTATAGCCCACCAAGCTCCACTGTCCATAGGATTATCCAGGCCAGAATACTGGAGTGGGTCACCCTCCTCCAGGAATCCCAACCTTCCCAACTCAGGGATCAAACCTGCATCTCTTATGTCTCCTGCATTGGCAAGTGGGTTCTTTACCTCTAGGACCACCTGGGAAGCCAAAGAATTAAATATATTCTATCATATTTATCTTATTATAGCTACCTTTGTGTACCTTATATTAATTTTCATTTTGAGTATTTTAATGGCCTCATAGCCTTAATAATCATAATTATCAGTGTCTTTTTGATGCTCAAGTTGTCTGAGCTTAACCAGTAAGAGTCCCTTTAAGATAATTCTTTTATTCTTTAAATGCTACCTGGAATATTTTTAGCAAACATCCTCTTCCAACAACACAAGAGAAGACTCTACACATGGACATCAACAGATGGTCATTGTAATATAATATAATTTCCTTATAATATCATATCATATCATCATTATAATATAATACAATATTATATATAATGCCATATTATAATAAAATATAATCACAGTGATTATATTCTTTGCAGTCAAAGATGGAAAAGCTCT